GGGGGGGGGGGGGGGGTTGTCTTTTGGTTTCATTTTTGGCGGCTGGCTGGTACAGGAATCAAACCCTGGACCTTGGTGTTACCAGCACCATGCTCTGACCAGCTGAGCTAATTGGCTGGCCCTTGCCTGTTGTTCCTGAGGAGACCAGTATAGGAGGAGGTAGGCACCCGTCTGCGAATGGGGACAAAGCACAGGGGACTGGCAGTGTTCCTTGGTTTCACACTGCCAAGCAGGAGGCCTTAATGTCCCACGTTGCAGGGGTCCTGACAAAAAGCCTGCAAAAAGACAAAACCCACTTGGAAAATGGAGCAGCAGCATAAGGACTTTGACTCTGATTGCAGAGTTGTCAGGTTGAAGAAAAGTGCTTATAGGATAGCAGAGAGATAAAATGTTTTAGTTCTCAGTATAATGAATTTTCACCAGTAGGCTTTATTTTCTCAATTCAGTTTCTTAACACAATGTGCATCTTCCTGTGAGTTCTTCCTTGAAAACAGATATTTCCCCAGTCGTCTTGTAGACCGGCTTTGTAGAGGTTGGGAGTTAGAGGTCATTGTTGTTCTCATATCTACTCATTCATTTGCTCCTTCATTCATTCACCCATTCATGACACATATTGGAAGTGGCTTTGCTCTGAGCCAGAGACGAGGTAGACAAAGACAAGCCCTGCTCCTGTCACTGGTTTCCTTTCACCTCTTCTCTTCCCATGGTGAGGAGAAGGATCCAGAGCCCCCAGATGTGCTATCCTGAAAACTTAAGTCAAGTCACTCTCCTAGAATACTGAAACTCAACATACAGGTAACGGCAGGTGACATTTGTTGAGTGCTTGCTGTAGGCTAGGTGTTGTCCTGTGCCCCTTCATGAATCAATGTCTTTCAGTCTCTTAGCCACCGGAAAACCCCAGCCACACCCCGTAGTCTCCTGGGTCTACCTCTGACCTCCCGTTTCTCGCCTCTCTCCCCCATGCCCTCACCTGAACCCAGGCCTCCTTGGACACTCCTCTGAACCACTGCAGAAACTTTCTAGCAGGCCTCCTTTTCATCTCTTCTCCCATCCAGTTCTCACTTCTTTCTCAATTTTCATGTCACTTTTCTGCTTAAAAGCATCAGGAACAAAGTCCAACTTCTTAGCCACCTTTAAACAGTAGGTTTTCAAGATAGCTTTCTGGCTCTATATTCCTTTATTGTGAGCGTGTGAAGGCAAAGGCTCGTAAATATTTGAGTTCCCAGTGCCTAGCTGACTGCCTGGCACACAGTTCACATCTCTGAACACTGACTGGATCTGTCTCTTCCCAGTCTCCACCATGTGGTCAATGTTGACTCATGCAGGTGACCCATTTCTCTGCCTGGCAGGTTTGTTGCCTTCCGCCACTCAGTTCCCTCGCTCCAGTGGCATGTTGGATGGTCTTTGCTAGCAATGCTAGGGTACCATGGTGGTGTCCTGCGAGGGTTTCCAAGCTGGGTTCGTGCCTGGGCAATTACTCAGCCCCAGCGCTTGGCACAGCACCTGTCACCTGATGCTTGTCTCCACGCTCGCCAAGTTTATTTTTCACCAGCTTGCTCTCCCAGTATTTATTTCCCACATTCTGGCAACCTTATTTTAAGCATAGATTTTAAGTGTGGAGATTCCAGAATTCAAAAGCTCAGGGTTAAAATATTTGCTGTATTTTTAAAATTGAGTTGAAATTCACATAACAGAATTAACCATTTCAGAGTGGACAGGGCAGTAGCGGAGCATTTATTCCCCGTGTTGTGTGGTCACCACCTGTGTCTAGCTCCCAACATTTCCATTGCTTTGCTTTGTTTTTTTATCAGCTCTTTGGCCTTGTCAGCCAGCTTGTTCCTCTGTAAAACGTGAACTCAGGTTCTGACCTTCTAGGTTCATAGCACAGGGACTGCATGTGGCCTGCCCCCAAACCACACATGAAGGTCTGCTCACCCAGAGCTGGCCTGCACCTCTGCTGCATGTGCTCGTGAGGTTAGTTCTTCTGCAAACAGCCATGAGCCCAGTGTGGTGCCAAAGAGAAATGTGGCTCTTCAGGCCGCCAGCACACATGGAGTGGCTGGTGCACACCCTAGGCAGTCGGGAAAGCTCTTCTTCCTGCTTCCATCAGGTTGGGGTGATGAAGGAGATTCAAGGGGAATGAAGAGAAACTGCTGAGCTCTCTTCTGCTCCATGTCTCTCTCAAGGATGGATTTGCTGCGGGCCAGACGGTAGCCATGGAAAAGGCACAACCCCACTGGAAGTGCTTGGGCCTGCAGAAGATGTGGCTGCCCCAGGAGCTAACCTTTTGGGGAATGTTGCTGTTGGTCCCTGAAGCTCAGGCCCTGGCTTCTGCCAAGGTGGCACAGTTGGTGGTGCAGGTAAAGGAGACCCAGCCCAGCCCCAGCTCGCCCAGCTGCACAGGGCCTGCACAGTATGTAGCATCTGGCCTGTGGCCTGCTGTCCTTGCATCCTGCTGGACTGGCCTCCGCATGTGCTTGGTGTGCAAGGCGCTGCCCGAGGAGCGGCCGTGGCTCCCCTGCCTCATGCAGCCCACAGGACCAGGAAGGTATTCGGGCCCCAGGGGCTGCGATAAGATAATGTGAGATTGACCAGTTATTTCTGAAGTATCTTTAACGTCACATTAAAAAACCCATGAGTTATAACATCTCATTTAAAAAATACATGTCTGGTGTAGTCTACCTGTTATTTCTTCTGGATAAATTGCTTTATATAAGATTCTCCAAAATAGGTAATTCCTTAAAGATATGTTGACTCAAGAGGCCATCCTTCTATTCTCTTTTAGATTTTTTTCTCCCTTGCAGAAAATATATTCCAAATGATGCCTCTGTTTGTGACTATAACTTACCGTGTGGAAAGCACTGGGGAGAGAACACCTAGGTTGCAAACTTGTTTCAGACATCTCACTCTTACATTTGGAAAGCTAGTTTCGTTTTGTGTCACTAGAGATCCCACGTGGCACTCCTTCTCTTGCTGCTCTGCATGTCCTCGAATTTCATTCCAGCATTCCAGTTCTTGAGCTAATAGAGGCTAATTTCTTTAAATGATATCCAGGCTTCCACTGTAGCTACCTGGACATACAGAATTACTCTCACCCGTCCAGATTTCTTATGCTAAATGATGTCTCTCTTTCTGTCTCTGTCTTCATCAAGGTTTTTTTCATTTGCTTGTTATTTTACCAGTGTCGAGCTGGGGGACTTCATGTGTATATGGACAAACAAAATATTCTCCTCATTATTGAAGAAAAAAATGCATTGGGATCCAAACAGAAAAGCAACACGTATCTCAAGCCTCCCTCCTGTCACTTTTTCTTCTACTGCGCTGCACTTCATTACCCTTCTTTCCTGTTGCAGGCTGCCCTTTCAAGAGCTCCTAATTAAAATATGCCTTTTTTGTGCTTTGATTCAGGGCTTAGTGGTGTCTCATCTTGGCAACGGTTGATTTAAAAGTAGCCAGTGGTCACATGGCCTCACCAAGTCCAGTTGCTTTGCTTACATTTGCTACCTGAGCTGTCCTGCTCAGACCAGCTCGCTCAACCCTTCTGTCTGCACGGTGGGGGATGCAGTCACTGCAGAGAGGCAGCAGAGGGGAAGACGAGGGTGGGACCTGGCCAAGGAGCACGTTCTAGGGCTGCAGGGACCAACAGGAGTGCTCTTGCCTCCCAGCCCAGA